AAACAAATTTCTTTTTTTCCCTTTTTTTTTTTTTTTTAAGCCTGAAAAGAGGTGAATTTATATGTGGATTTTCAATAAACAGTGCTTTCATTTTACCTTTTTCAATTAAATGGCTTATGCTTAATTTGAATGCATCATTGCCATTGTTCCTACCAACGTTTAATTTGCTTTGTGATTCTGCTTTAATTCTAAACTAATGCATTTTCTAGGATTTTCTGAACAATCTTATTCTCCATGCTCAGGGGCTGCATTTTTAAGAGTTTCAAAAGTCTATCAAAAATAATAATAATTGGTTATATTTAATATTGGAGCGTGCATGTAGGTATAAATAAGGTCTAAACATCTAGGAACGATACGCAGAAAAAAATGCACAGACTTCTAAAATTCTTTGAGCCCCTTTGCAGTTTATCAAAGAAACCTTTACAACAACACTGTAGTATATGCAACAACTACATGGACTTTCTTAATGTCTTGTTGGGAGATTAGGAAAAAAAAAAAAAAAGCTACAATTTTGCTTTATTGGGTACCTTTTCCATCTGCAGGCAGGTGAAGGGCAGCAAAGCTACCCAGGGCAGTAAGGAAGGGCTCACTGAATGGAGTCATAACAAAACTGAATCCTTTCAAAGGACTTGTCTTCAGCAAAGAAGCCTAAAAGATAGATGGGAGCAAACAAAGCTGTTTCAATATAAAGAGCTCCATTAAATGCTTGAATGGCCCTTACTAATGCATAAAGCTCTCCACGATGGAGCAGTGCGTGTGTAAAGCAGGTGCTAGGCTGAGGGGCAGACACTGGAATGCAATTGCCAGTTAGCGTTCCTTTTTCTGCCTGTTCAAGATAATCACTTCAGTGCCCATAATGCATCTTGGTGAGAGTTATTGCTGCAAATCAAGAGTTTTAAACCCTTTAGCAACAGCTAAAATTGCTCCATTTGGAGACAAGATGGAGAACACTGAGGAAATACAAATAGCAGAACAGAGAAAATTCAGTTCAGTTGCAGTCTTTGTGAGAAACAAATGGGCTGACCTGGATTAACGAGGCTAATAATATTACACAGTGCTTTGCCCTTCTCTAGTAGTTTCCACCTGAGCCTCTCAGCTTTTGCTTGAGGGAAGGAAGCATTTATTTCCCTCCTGTGTTTGGGGAGTTGAAGAGCAAGAAATGAAAGTGATTTGTCCAAGCCTGTGCAACAAGCTTCAAAATGAGCTGAATGTATACCCCCAAAACCTGACTTTCCCTTCTCCAAGATCACTGGCACTTTCAGAAAAGTAGCATAAGATGCAGAAGGGTTTTCGTGCCACAAAGACTGTTCAATTCAGAAAAAAAAAAAAAAAAAAAAAAAAAAAGTGCTTCATTGTTTTAAAGAAAAAAAAAAAAAACACCATGGAAATTTGTGAGAAAGGGAGTGTCAAAGAATTTGCATGTGCTTGATAAAACTAAATGAAACTTTTAACTTCCTATAGACATTTGTATGTAGAAGATAGATTTATTTGAGCACTTTTGTTGTTGGTTTGTGAGGTTTTTAATTGTTTAAACAAAAGAAATGAAGCAGCTGTTTCCACTGAAACAAGAGGACAAGTACTTTTTAATTAAAATTCTATTTGGTGCATAAAACTTCATTTTATATTTCTTGACATAAAAAAAAACAACTCAGTATCTCACAGAAAATGACGCTTTTGTCTGAAAAGCTTGATTCAATTACTTTTTTTTCTTTTTTTTTAAATAGGAAGATTTGCAGCCTGAAAACTACCAATGACTTGTACCGTTTGCTCGTTTGGATCCATGCTATAAGTAACTTAATTACCTACTAAAAGCACTGTGATAATCAAGTCCAGCAAATAGTCTCATTGTATCTTTGAATATTAGAGAGCACTATATAGGGAAATTAAGACAGAGAGTCCTTGCATATACATAGAGATTTCCAGAAAGAATTCACCTACCAAAAACCTCTCCAGATCAAGGTTCCCATTGAAACAAAGTGTCCCCAATCTGTCACAGTACCAAGCCTATCCACAAAGCCATAGGAGCAACAACAGTGAACTCAAAGCCACAGCACTTGTCTGGTTTTAAATGTATAAATTAAGAATGTGTTTCCACAGGGCTTTCTAAAGTCCTTAAAACTTCTGCCCGTTTAAATTTTCTGATAAATACCTTAAAGTTAGTTAGAATAATTTGAATTCATGCAGTTTAGAATGAAAGACAGAAGTCTCTGGTAATTCCTGGTAACCACATCAAGCAGGATTTCAATTCCATCTGCAGGTTAATCAGCGAACAATACATTTGACTACATACCTTGCACAGATTTGTCAGTTTATAGAATGCTTTGGGGAATCTTATAGCCAGAAACTATTGTTACAATACACTTCACTACACTAAAACCTGTTGAGCACGTATTTTATAATTGCAGAAGGCTCATATTCATTGGTATCAATTCTGTGACATGTGAACATCCCTGCTGTGTCTGATTAGATCACTCTACCTATATGCTATCATCATAGTATCAACAATTCAGTTAATCTGGATAGTTTCTTAAATCACTGTTTTCTCATCGGCTGCTATTCCTCTCTTATCTGGCTCCCTGCTGCATGCATAAACACTAATTACTGGTCTTCTGACTTGCCGTCTCAGTGCCTTTAAGACATGATGGAACATCAGCTGTCCCAGGTTTCTTTTCAAAGCACAAGGTGGCTATTTCATCACAGCTGAAATCTTTGAATGTTCTTAAAAATAAATAATATCCTTCACCCTTGGAAATGGAGAAAGTATGGCAATGATCAGTGATTCACAGTGTGGGATTTTTAAACACCTCATTTTCATCTTACTTGAAGTATTTTATGCCTTTGAAATAAAGAAGCTAACATGATATGAACTGCCTTTCTGTCTAACAGCAGTGTGTCTTGCATTAATGATCAATTACACCTACATCCAAGAACAGACTCATACTAAGAAAAGTAATAAGGTTTAAACTTGAAATTACAATGAATAGAATTGTGGCAATTTTGCACCTTTTCTCACTTATACGAGAAGATCTCACAACTGATGTGATAATTCTACATTTAACACAAAGTAACAATTTTCGAAGAAAAAAAATGCCAGGTGGCATTTGTCAAATGTATGACAGGTTAATTCATAGTGGGCATCAACTAGGGAACCCAAGAAGCTGCATTTGGAGGCTTCGGGGTTCAGTTTTTCCTCTGACTGATGCCAACTTCCTAATGTCACTTTGTCTTTGCCTCTTTTCTCCTCTGCAGAAAGAGGACACTACTTTATCTTTTGCAACACAATGCTGCAAAGCTTGCCCAATAGTATCTCTACATCACATTTGCTACATTCAAGTGCAAGACACTCACAATGCTTTGGCCAGTAGATTGCTACTATACAGAAGAAATGTATGCTCCACCCACCGCTATTCCTTAAAATGTACAGATTACAGTTATTTTCTTTTTTTTCCCCACTGAAACACTAAGTATAATTCAGGCTTAAACATTCTGCTATAGTGTCCTTCTTTGTCTAAACAAAGTTGTCATCTTTATTTCTTATTTAATGCAACAATACTTCTCCCTTGTCTCACAATAATTTGAACAGAAGCTGAAGATGGACTTCCCTTAGCAGGTAAGAACACAGAGAAGAATTACAAAAATGAGTACAGAACCAGGAAAAAAGTGTTTTCGGCAATATTTTTAATGAAACTAAACATATTAACCTATTTAATCACTGGAATAATATGAATAATTTGATTGTTTCACAGAGATTCCTTTTAGGAAGACAGTATGTTCCAATAAGATTCTTTCGGTCTGATCAAAAAAAAAAAAAAAAAAAAAGCAATTGCTGGAAATTAAAAAATTAAAATCAAACTAAAATTAACAAAATAGGGAGCAATTTTAAACAGTGTGGATGGAAAAAAAAAAATACTACCCAAAGAAATATTGCCAATTTCTTGATGAACTATTTTTTGAGAAGATATGTTTCAGTCAAAGTGCAAGAAAAACTGCGTGAATCTAACTGGCCCATGGTATACAAAAAGCTGGACTGAATGATCCTTCCTGGCCAAAGAAATCTGTGAGTACTCCTTATCTCCAGCATTATGGGTGGATTCAAGGCAACATCCTTCCTAAAAGCTCACCCAAGACATGACTCCTTTGTCTTTTAATGAAATTCTTAATTTGAAGAAAATTTAATGCAGAGTTTCACAAAGACAGAACACTTAAATTACTGGACTGTGATTCCACAGCTTCTGGAGCTTCCCTTGAAAAAGGCCACCCTCCTATTTCTATTCTATGCTGTCAATTTAATAATGCAATCCTTACCCAGGCAAAACTCCAGCTGTTCTCACGGAATAGGGAAAATGACGTATGGCCCTTCTGTGAACAAATGAACATCTACATTTTTTCCTGAAATAGCAGGCTTCACTGTATAAACCGGATTAATTACAGACCAAGTTGACAGTGCTGCCTGTCATTATAATGAAAATTCTTTGGCAATCTTAGAGGCTACAATGCCACAGCACTTACACAGTCTGAATTTAAGTTTCTGTGCCAGGTATCTGCCAGGCTGATCACTGTTACTACTGTTTAACAAAGAAAAAGAAGTTGACTGAAACCATTCAGCTGTTTCTGAGAATATATCCACAGGAAAATATTTGGTTGTATTAAAATATTATTGAGGCATTCTTTTCTCTGAAATGTATTATTACCTTCCTGCTTTGAATCAGGCACTGCAGTTTGGCAGGGAAGCCAGGGGGTTTCTTTTGCAATCAGAGAGGTGGTCTTTATGAACCTTGTGAAAACTTCTCCTCATTTAGCCAATAAGCGTTTGAAAAAACCACAGCTTTCATGCTCAGCAGGGACTTATTTTAGCAACTTGAAAGTTCTAATGATAATTTTCCAGGCACTTGGAGGCTCTTGGGCTTAGAGTCTCCGCACTGTTCACACACACCAACAGTGGTTCATAGTAAGCGGGGTTTCAAGAAGGAATGTTTAGACTACACATGCACTTTATATACCTGATGGTGGTTCAGTATGTTCATTCTTCACTACCTTTGTAATCTTTCAGTGATTTCCTTTGACATACTTAGCTTCTGCTCCTTTTTTCTCTAGTCACATGGTAAAGTAAGATGATACCCAATGCCAGAAATGTCCAGGGTTCCTGAAAGGTAAAAAAATAATAATAATAATAATAATTTAGAAAAATGTTAGCAAATCAAACTGCTTAAAACCTCGATGCTCCCTCAGTTAGTTACCACTACAATAAAGAACGAGGAGAGGAGTTCAGGGACACCTGAGGAACCACAGAAGACCTGAAAAGACAAATACATTAATATATATCTTCTTAGAAAATGAACCATTCTAGTAGGTATAGATTTTATCTGAGAAAGTTTGTTTTTTTTTCCAGTATTTTCCTTTTTTCCCCCCTTCTCTTCTGCTTCTAGGTCCATGCCTTTAAATGGCCAAACCAGAACAGCATCGGTCCTGAGATCTGATTCTGAGTTTCATCAGCATAAGTAAAATGATTTAGGCAATCATAAAATGATTCCATTGCACTCAAAACAGTGTCACAGATTCACTGCAGAAACATTCCAGATTTCTGGTGCAGAGAGACAAAGTAATTGTATGTCAGTCCTGGGAAAGAGCTACAAAATAATTAGTTCCTTTGGTAATCATTTTGGTGGTTAGTCAAAGCAACAGCAGATTCATCTCAGTACTCTTAGCTTCACAAGTGGCACTATCTGTATAGGGACAACATATTCTGCATTTAAATCCAGTTCCTAACTCATGCTTAGATTTGAAACAACCCTCAGGACACAGGTCTAGATTTCATTTTTATCAACTTTTTGTCCTGTCAGAGCCTCGAAGCATGATGTACTTAGGAATATATGTGAATACTTACATGTATATAGGAACCAGACTGCTTCTCTGTAATAGGAACTCTGCATTCCTTCTAAGGTTAGCATGTCTAATGCTCTCATTTCTCATCAGTCTCTATAACTACCTGAAAGGAGACTACAGCCCTTTCTATGAGAAAGGGGCAACAGTCCCTTTTCTCAGGTGACAAGTGATAGGACACACAGAAATGGCCTCAAGATGCACCAAGGAAGGTTTAGATTGGATATTAGGAAGAGTTTCTTCAGAGAGACAGTGGCCAAGCACTGCAACAGGCTGTCCGAGGAAGCGGTAAAGTTCCCATCCCTGGAAGTATTTAAGAGACATGTGGGCATGACACTAAGGGACTTGGGACTTGGTGACTTGGAACTTGTAACCCTAACATGATGAGTGTTTCAAATATTCATCCAAAAGAGCCTTCAGGTTTAGAGGTAATGATAGTGGTTGAGACTGACAAGTGACTTTAGCTGAGGGAAGGGTATATATGCTACTGGCTGATACTTTGAATGTGGTGAAAGTTCACCCAAAAAATCCTGACAATGAGCACAATAGGGAGTTTACACAAACTCAGATTGATTAACTTGGTATAGCCATGGCCTTATAAGCTCTTAAAGGTCAGCTATTGTACCTTGAGCTTAATTTAATGGGCTGTAAATGTAATTGAATAAATATAGCATGGAGGGTGAACAGACAGGTGACTGGAAAATTATGTGGGCAGTACAATTCTGAAACAGCCTACAGAGATCAGAGAGGAGGAAGATGACCAGGAGGAGGAAAGGGAAGAAAAAAGAATTGATAGATTAATATTCAACTTTATTGCAAGCATCAAATGGAAGATAATGAATTCTAAACCTTACTGAAATTCACACTACCTTGTTTTAGGCAATGAAGAAATCAATAATTCATAAGACACTTCAAAGTTCAAAACTGCCACCTCTTCCCAGAGGTAGTCATTGAAGAGGTAATAGTGAGCTAACAAGAGGACAAGTGATCACAGTGCCTTATGCAATTCAAAACTTCATTCTCACAGCTTCAAGGTTTTCCTAGCTGCACAGTCAGGAGACTTGACACGTGGCTGCAGTTGTCATCCCCCCCAAAAAACACACACATATGGCAGCTCTGCTTTCATTCAGGTATGTCAGTCAACTATGCCATTGAACTCAGGTAGCAACAATACAGTGCTGTTCTGAAAATATTTGGGAGACTTTATGGAAGATAGCAAGGTGAACTAGGTTAGATTCAGACAGGGGGACATCCAGACTAGGGATTTTGACCCTACAAGCCAGCATGTTAACCTTAGAATCACCCTATGCAAACAAATGTCAGCACAGAACACTGAGTTCTCCAGAAAAGGCACTAGCTTGGCCGCAAAAACAATAAATGAATGAATTGTTTTAGAAGCAAGAGCCTCACTTCCTGGAAGCTCTTTATCCACAAAAGAGAAAACATAACCTCGAAGGCTTTATAAGGTTCCACAATTGTTGGGGGATTTATCTAAGATCAGAATTAAAGTGCCATGATACTCCAGAGAAAAATGATATTAGTAATATTTTAGGATAGACTTAATAGAAGAGGCCACTGGATAAAATGAGGTTTCCAGCAAAACCCTTTGACAGGTCAGACATAGGGAAGTTCTGATATGATCTAGCAGCCAATGAGCCAAATTATTTTCATGAAGAAGGAAGGATACAGAGCTAGGTAGAAGCAGGTGGGATCGTAGATTAAATAATTGATCAATTTCTCTTCTACAAGAATGTCTGCGTTCATATTTCTTCTCCTCACATTTCTTTCCTTTCCTACCGTGATGTTCTAACTGCTCAGCCTTATTAATACCTACAGAAAAACATATTCAGGTCTTTTCAATTTTTCCAAAAGGTAAACAGATCATTCATGTCTGAATTTATTCCTACTTATTTGTAGGATAACCATCCTTTCCTTGCTTACTTATTAGCAGAATTTTCAAAGACAAATTCAGCCCCAACATAAACAGCGACAGCACTTACTGAGCTGTGCCCAGCTGTTATATTTTGTCTGTATAAATATGGTTTCCTAAATCTGGCTATGTCTGTCTCCAATTAATCCTAGAACACGAATGCCGGAAAGGCCACAGGGAGAAATGTTAATGCTAAGAGGAATACATTTTGATGCTTCTACCCTCAGTTATTTAGTAGCTGCTAACCTCTTACAATGTAGATTCTGCAAAAGTCACAAGAAAGCGAGAAAGAACAGCATCAACAACAAAAAAACATAAGGAGCCAGTGGAATGAACCTGAACGTCAATACAAAAGCAAAGCCAAAACAATAAGAAATTCATTAAAAAGCACTTCCGTGGGGTCTGGTTCTAGCAGTGATCCATCTCACGTAGACCTGCTGGTTCTTTAGCCAGGGTAAATGAATATCAGAGGTTTTCACTATGATATACACTTACATTTTGGAGAGATTATTTGGACATGTTTTTTATTTATAAAAAAAAAAAAAAGAGGTCCTGTCGTTTTCACCAAATGCTAATTTGCACCCTCCTGTGACTTACTGTTAATAAATTTTCTGCTACTGACACGAGGAGTTATGACATGAAGTATCAATGAAACAAAAACACGTGCTGGGTTCTTCATTTGTCCATACGCAATTTAGCCAGTGCTTTGAGAAAAGCTCTTGCCTCCAAGTAGGAGGCACACCAAACATATTACCACTGTTAAGATTAAGAAGTGTAGTTTGATCATGAAAGTAGATTTTTAAAATATAATTTTTCTAAACCAAGCCAGTTGCTTGTGGGAGCAGATGGAATGTGCACTCACTTTAATTCCATCAGTGATCTCATTTTAAAGCAATTAAATATTCCTGCATGGTACATGCAATGCAAGCAGTGGAGCTACATGCAAGGGAACAGAAACTGGAAATTAAAACCTGTGATTAATTGACAAGCTGACTACTTCCATTGCCCAAACTGAGGAATATAGAAGAAGAAAATAATTACTAGAGAAAAGGATTTTTTAGCCCATTCCCATTACAAAAAGATACGTTATAAATTCCTAAAAACTAAATATGACCATATAAGCAGGGAGGAATCAATATGAAACTTATAGAAATGTTTCTTGTAGCCTAACTGTCCCAACATCACATGCAGAAATCTGAGCCTCAGTGGCACCTGAGCGGTATTATAAAACTCCAGTCCTCAGGGAAGGCACTACACAGCCACAGTGCTCGTTCCTTTTCTCAAGAAGGATTACCTATTCTCCATTCAAGTGCTCAGGATCCTGGCACAGTGAGATCTCAGGATTACGTAACTCTATAAAACAGAAGTGCTGCCTGTCCACCAATAACTGACTAAACAAAGTTTGTGGGTGTAAGGTGAAATTTTATTCTCTGTGACAGTGAGTGTTTAGAAAGCAGCTAATGACAGTGCCAAAAAGATAGACTGTCTAGAAAGAGAGAACCATGCAAGCAAGCATTATCTTACACCCCTGGTTTTGCCTTTAGTTATGCTTTCCTGGACCATTTTCCCACAATTAACGCCACACAGCATCACGGATTAACAATTCTTCTTCTCTTGTTCTTATAACAACCTTTATCTCTAAGACTAAAGAGGTATTTAGTCAAGTTTTCGATATATTTAGTGGAACACAGTCCACTTCTTGAGATAATTAATAGTGCCAGAAGAGATCCTTGCAAAAAACACGTGCCTGCTTCTCATGCTGAATATACTTTTCCCTCAGCATACTTTTGCAAAGAGTATGCTGAGCATTAAATGAGTTTCTGATCACCCAGGGCAAGGTCAGTGAGACCATCGCTGCTGTCCCAAGCAGAATAATGGAGCTATCAATAACAGTTAGATCAGGGTTAATAAGAGGAATATAATGAGGGGGAATGGGAGGTCACATTGTAACACACTGAAAACTCCTTGGCTTACAAGAATGTTCTGCAGCAGGGCTGGCGCTTATTTCCACCTTGTCCACAGAAAGAACCTATTTTTCACTATGCATTTACACTGATTCAGACTTCATCAGATGTTCATTTTCCTGTCAGCTTCAGGCAAATGAGGGCCAAATCCTGCTGTGTAATTGAGCTCCAGCAGTTCAGGGGAAAAAAAAAGAGGGGGTGGGGGAAAAAAAAAGGAAGAAAGAAGAAAAGAAATGAGGTTAGAACTGACTGAAGAGTATTGTAGTGCAGAGATAGCTAGCTTTGTCCCAAATTTCACAGGTTAAGAACAATGAGATAAAAAAAATACCTAGATTTTGTTTCTTGGTGCATTGCAAAACACAC